CTTACCACCCTCACCGCCGTATTGCATTTTGAGAATGGAGTTACCGAAAGGGTTTGATAGTGATAATGGTCAATCTAAAACTATTATAAATACAAGTGTAAAAAAAATCTTGTTTTATTAATAGAATGTGAGTCTCATATTATCCATGAAAATTGCACATTCTCTTTATATTCTGTTGACGGAGCTCGTGTGGTTAACCGTCACATCAATCTAGAATATAGTTGAGAATGATATGGAACTCGCGAGTCTCAAGCGTAAATTGAGATGGGACCATGTGATTTTGCATGGTTAATTCACAATCTATTTAATGTGAATCTTATGTTATCCATAAAAGTTGCACATTCTCTTTATAACTTGTTGATGGAGCCCGCATGGTTAACCGTCACGTCAATTTGAGAGTATAGGTAGAGAATGATGTGGAACTTGTGATTCTCAAGTGTAACTTGAGCCGGGGACCATGCGATTTTGTATGTTCGATTCACCATTTGTTCAGTGATCCGCGACGACCCCGTCATTGAATCTGAGATGAACATAATATGACATTAACATGCCATTGATAGTCAATGAATATCAAAGATCTAGGAATTTTGTGGTGATCAAAATTTGCAATGGTCTTTGCCTACCTAAATAACTTTATGGTATGTTTACAGCATCCCTTTACACATCATGCAGCCAAATATGGATCCTAGCCTTCTAAAATAATTTTATTTAATGTGATTATTTTCTAAGGATATGTAAAACAAACTATAATGGAATTTAATCGTGAATGATGTCTATAACCTTATCCACTAAAATCTACTGCTATTAAACCTTTGAAAGGATTAGCTATGAGGATGATCAATCTTGTCAAATTCGGAGTTTGGGAATAGTTCTCATAAACGAAAGGAAAGATCATGCCTTTGATAAAGCTCTTCCTAAGTTACTTAAAACATTGCATTCTAAACTGTTAGAAATAGCAGTTATCATTGTACGTTGTAAACTGACATATTGAAGTAAAATTGAATTTCCTTGCGTTTGGACTTGACTAGGGTTAGCCAACTAGTTGACATGTACATATAATCAGTTCATTCTGATTTTTATATGAACAACTTGGAATTCCCATGAAAGAGTTGTGTAGCATGTTGAGGTTTCCTTTTAGAACTAACATTGTCAATCATAGAAACTCAAACTTCAAAGCACTCCCATATATTTACTATCCTAAATAGAAGTTTCAAGAAGAAGAAATCCAATTGCCCATGGGTTAAAAGGCGATTAGTGTTGGTATAACTAATCTAGGAAAAAATGCCAAGGATAAAGGAAGGCTTATTCTGAGACATGTTCAGATAGAAATTCGTTTTCATAACAAGAAAGTACTAAGAAAGCATACATCCCCAATATATATATTGGAGATGAAAGGACCGGTTAATGAAGAAGTTAAATTTGATCATGGATCATGAGCCCTTACTATTTTCCATAGGATCAAAAGATAACTAGTTCTCCGATGTTTGGTGTTCAATCAAATATATGGATTCATAATGCCATCAGAACATTACTTCTAAACCTTGAGTATTTTACTAAGGATTGAGTACTGACATTTGCGAGAATGTGCAGTGACTAAAATGTAGTAAGAAGACTGAAACATGGAGAAGATAATTTGATCATGAATGTCAAGCCCTTGCTACTTTTCATGGGATGAAAAGACAACTCTCCCAAATGTTTAGTCTGTGGTATTATAATTGAAATTATTTATACTATGATTCATGAGATAGTTGTGACTTATTTACACATGAAGCATTCTAACATGTTAAAGGAAAGTCATGAAATCTATGAAACTAGTATAGTAGCAATAGTTCAAAGTTGATTCAAATATTTGAATAAGGTGTATTATTGTGATGCAAATATATGTTGAACTTAGTTTACCTAATGGATTGTTCAGATTGACCATAATACGTACTGATTCAAATACATCCAAAAGTTTTGGGTGAAGTGTATTTGTGGAATCATAGTCTTGGATACATAAGTGAGAAATGAATTACCAAGTATCCAGTTAGATCGGATTTTGGATATCATTTGACCTAGAGTCTTGTGATAAATGCTAATTTTGTTTATCAAGATAGATGTTTCACACATCACTAGATGATGTGAATATATGTTGGAATTAGTTTGCACTAATGGGACGTTCAAATTAACCACGATACATGGTAAGACCGACTTCGTATGAACATGAGTCTGGAACCTTTCAGGTGTTAAAAGCTCTCATAAAGTGAAGTTAAGAATCAACTGGGCAATAGGATTAGAAACTTATAGTGAGAATCTCAGTCAAAAACTTTATCGGTCATCTAAGGAATTGTGAAACAATTTTACGAGCTATCGCCACCCAAAACAATACCATAAGGAGTGTTAATCGGATAGATAAATAAATCATTCATTGATTTTGTATTAGATGAGTCACACTATGTTTGCTAAAAATTCATGGATTGTACCATTAATAGTGTTAAGAGAAGTCCTTTGGTCTTGTATCAACTAGTAACGTTCATAAAACACTCTATGATATGTGAAGTAGGATTCAATCCTGGTTACCACATATGGAAGTCTATGATTATGAGGTTTAATCTCGTCGTGAAGTGCTCGACAATCTAGAACTTAGAATAGAGATGCGTTATCTCATTGGAGAACCCATCAAGCATTTTGGATAATTGTCAACAATCCTTTTGAGAACAATGTGTATGTTGCTCGAAAGGGAAGTCTTCCAATAGCGGGGGCTAATTTACAAAAGGGCTAGTGGGAGCCACATTGATCTTGATAAGATTCAAGAGTCAACCAACGAAGAGCATAAAGTTGGGCCTAGCATTCAATTCGAGGTTGAAAGAGATATTAAGGAACTAACATACCTCTACCTCTTCCTTATAGATCTAATAATAGACATCATTCACCTAGTTATCTAAGAGTTTATATTACTGAGGTATATGAGTAAGTAGTATATAACAATCAGAGTTACTAGCTATCAGAAGTTGTGGTCAGCCCTAAAGGCTACAAAATAGAAGGAAGATTTGGAAAGCGAGATTCATTCCATGTATGTGAAAACTTGGTAGAGCAAGCATTTGACTTAACCATTAGGTATAAGTGGATCTTCAAGAAGACACAAACATAGATAGGAACAACCACATAATCAAACCAAGATAGGTTGTGAAGGATGTGCAAGCTTAATAAGTTCATTTAAGGACTGAAACAAGCATCTCGCAACTAGGATCATTATTTCAATGAGAAAGTTCAAAGAGTTTGAATTTCTAGAAATAAATATGAGCCATACATATGTCAAAGCTAGTGGGAGCAATTGGAATATTTGTTTCAATGAGAAAGTTCAAGGAGTTTGAATTTTGAGAAACATAGATAAACCATATATATATATATATATATATATATATATATATATATATATATATATATATATATATATATATATATATATATATATATATATAGACACACACACACACACACACATATATATATATATATATATATATTATATATATATATATAATATATATATATATATATATATATATATTTACTAGCCGTCTACCCGTGCCAAGCGACGGGTGTGAATAAATTTTCAAAAATCAGTTTGTTGAGTCGATTAGTTATTTTTCACAAATAGTTTAGTACATCTAAACACTTATCAAAGGACGGATGTGAATAAATTTTTCTATAATTAGTTTCATATGTTGATGTATTGTGTCGAAAATAGATCATTTTTATTTCATGATAACATATTTGATTCCGGAAAACACAAAATGCATTATAAATATCTAAGTCCAAAACCCTAAAGTCTAGAGCCTGCATCTATTCTGTTATGTTACAACAATGTCCAAAACCTTAAAACAAAGTTTCTTTTTAAGGAAAATAACAAAATTATTTATCACCCAAACTCATCAAGATGTGGTCACTAAAAATACATTTTAAAAGATTTTTTTTAGCATAGAAAACAGTTAAATGTAAAAATAACAATATAGGTTTAGCATCTAAAAGATTTTTTTTTCAATGTACAGGTGCAAGAAATAAATAAATGAAAGTATATAGCTATTAAATGTATGTTTAGTATTTTAATGAAATTTTACAATGTAAAGGAAAGGTGTAAGAAACAAATAAATGAAAGTGTAGCTATTCAAAGTATGTTTATAATTTAAATGAAAATTTTATATCGGATCTTAAACTGGCTAAATCAGGTTACGGGTACCTAATTTTATTTTTTTTAAAAAAGTTTTTTATTAATGACAAATTTTATATTTTACTAACAGTTAATTCTTTCTTTCAAATGTATATTTTGATTTATTTTAAATTATGTTAACCGAATTACAAAAGGGTAAATTATGTGTTTATATTTACCTTTTAATTTTGACCATCTGCGGGTAACATATTTATAAAAAATCAAGAAAATAAGATAAAAGAATATAACTTTAATTAAAAAAATAAATAGAGTAATAATAAAATGGATCATAATACAAATTATTTAGCAAACACTTTTCAAAAACATTATGTATAGTTGTTCTATTTTGCATATCACTCATTCATGATAAAAGAAAAATAATTTTTTATAACAAAATTCATATAAAAAGTGTTTTTATAGTAATTCCAAAATCACACCATATACAGTGTAGTTCATGTGTTGTCATTTTTTATTCTAATCTAATTCATATGCTAAAGTAAAACGTTATAGCTTGCATTAATCCTTTCTTTTAATCCAGATGAAGCCTAAAATCTAAAATGAAAAAATGATAAAACGTCATGTCAAAAAACATAAAAAAAAAAATAATAAATTCCATTTCTTGTCGGCTATAACAACAAAAGATACGTTTTTATGCAATTCATATAAAAAAAATCCATTTCTTGTCGGCTATAACAAAAAAAAATACAAAATCAAACCTCACAAATAAATTAATACATAATATGAACAATCTATATTTCCAATTTGAAAGATAATAAAATGAATCAAAACAAAACTTTGAAAAGTATATGAACTCCGGTTTCAATTGAGTCGGCATCAAACAAAAAGAACACTAAAAAAATCTGGAAAGAAGAATGACATCTCTATAACACAGTGTAATGTCATAAAAAGAAATTAAAGTAGGAACGAATAGGGAGAAAAGGTAAATTCTAATAATCATAAAACAAACAAATCAACTTCTTCCAACCCATCAAAAGCCCCACCAAATGGTCTATCTTCCATTCCATAATCTTCATGAAAATTCAAAAGAAAAATTATAAAAACTGAGCAATCAAATAGTAAATTAAACAGTTTAATTATATCTTGAAGCACTAAGGGTTGTTTTAGGTTCAAAATTACAAACACGTTTATCTTCTTTTTTAAGGGCAACTTGGTAATTTGATTCCATCCGTAAAGGTTTTTTACATACAATTTTTAAAAAATTAATTGAAAACCTTAATTACCTAGTAATAGAACATCAAAAATCAAAGAAATATCAATCACAATGACATGGTAACTTCACGTGGAAATGTCCCACCGTATATACTATCTACATGACTTCATGCATAATTAAGTAAACAATGATATATGGATTATATATTCAAAATAAACAAACAAAAGATGGTGGAAAATATACATATCATCACCTTTATAAATATCCCTACCTCACAAAACAAATACCAGCCATTAATTTACAGCTAATGAACACAGAAGCAGCTGCACACTAAAAACAATCAAAATAAACACATGATGCTAAATTATAGCTCTTGTTTATACCTTCTTACGTTTGCCTCCATGTTTACTTAAGATTCTTAAGCGAGTTCAAGGAGAGGCAAACGATAAATGTAATATCTTATTATCACAACTTCAACCTATGTGCATTTTCACACCATTGCTCCTTTAATACACTAATTTGGCAGGGCCGGTCCATTATATTGTTTTTCACCTAAAAAAAAGGTTTCTGCTAGATTGCGAACCACCATGAGATGAAGGATTCACATGTATCATCCACTTTGTGTATTCCAAGAAAGCACAAAATAGATGAAGTGACGGCTATCCATAGACTTCAAATCCATCATTTCCTCATTCTTGAACTACTACATGTAGATAATCCACAATAATCAGAGAAAACACATAATAGACCAAATCCATAAAAGATTACTATAGTATCCTTTCTGTCTTATGTAATTGTGACACTTTATCTAATTGTCAGGCTATATAAATTACCCTTCCTAAAATGGGTCACAAAAAGGTAAGAATTTCTTTCTCATCCCACTAACATTCAAACCCTTTGATTTACAACTTGAGACTTAATAAAGAAAATTAGAATACTTCCTTTCTTGGTATGTATTATAAAATCTGATATGGGTCCACACACAAATCATTGTTTCATGTTTGTTAAAAAGGTATGTAAGATATTTGGCAGATAATCAAACATTCAAGTCTATAGGGAGTAAAATATAATACCTTTTCTTCTGTGTATCATTTCTTTATGAGCCTCTTTCTTCAATTCTTCAAGTTGTGCTTTGCAAATTTTAGCTCCAATTGGTCTTCATACTTTGCCAACTATTCATTGCAAATCCCAAGCCTACAATCAATACACATGCACCAAAAATCGCTAACTTAAGCTTTGGAAATATTTAACAGACTTCAAATATTAAAAAGAACAGGAGAATTAGCTTATTTATGATTTATTTTATAAACTATGACATAGATGGGGCCATCCCAACATTTATATTTCTCATAAGTGGCTTCTTAAGTCATTTCTCGAGTGCATCCATCATCGTACCCTCCATATCCACTTGATCCATGCACCCTCCAATAAATTAAACTATCTAATAAACATTAACCATATATTATTAGCATCAAAATATGTAAAACTACAATTTCCTAAATGGTATATTCTTGGGACGGTATCTCCTTTATGGCCAAAGATAATAATGAAAATTACTTCTAGATTTTTTTTTTCAAGAAACACATGCTTCTTTCTTTATCTATGCATTTTGGCTTTTGCTATAGTATCTCCTTTAGTTGGTTTGTGAGAATTGTAAGAAAAATAATTGTACAGAAAGCTCTTCATGAACAAAATCCCAAATCCCCTTCCTACAGACCAAAAAACAGTAATATTAGAACTAAATTCATTCATTTTCTGTTGCTTCTTTAATTTCCATGGCAATTATTCTTCCTAATGAAATTCATTCAAAGTAGACTCATAAACCAAACTTGTGCTATGTATTCATTCTTGATTTATAGAACAGAAAAATTCTAGAAACAATTTATAAAGAAAATGAATAGAAAACTCATACAAATTGCACAATTAAATAAATTTGAATTTTCAAAAATTTAAGAGTAATCCAGCCATATTTTCAATCCATCCCAAATGTGGTTAGCACTTTATTTGGTACATAAAGGTCTTTTCTTTTGAAACATTTTCCACCCCGTTATATTGAAAAATATTTTCAAAATAACTCAAAATCGAAAGAAACATCAAGGGAGAAAGAACTGAAACAAATGAAAGGTGTGAGGTAAATTGGAGTGGAGCAGGGGAAAAGGGAAAAGAACCACATAATCTTTTATTCCTTGCTACATATGTTCCTTAATAGATCGGTGGTTTGTTTGTAACTGCATAGAAAATAGACCTCGTAAGAACCCAATAGGAGAAAGCCTAGGAATGGAGAGGATGATGAAGAAAGCATACCTTTTTTTCTCTGAAGAAGCTTATTTTCCGGCATCAACAGACAATGGAGGCGATGGAGAAGGCAGTGAGTGGTGAATGGTTTCTTGGGTATGATTGTGACAGAACTGAGAGAGCGGACGCAATAAAAAGTATATTTAGTGTTGACCGATTCAATCAAGTTGAAGATAAAGAATGACCGATTCAACTTTGACATGTTCATCTGGAAGAGGAGTTTTGGTTAGCTTAAGATAAGATATACAAGGGATAAGAATTAGATATAATAGGGTTGAGTCAAACGTCTATGTAGCAGGACTGGTTCACTCGTATGCAATATTTTATGCATTGATTAATTGTACTCAGTGCTATATCATTTGTAAGACTTAAATTCAATGTTTGACCATAAATGTTTTAATGCATATAAGGTTTGTACACGATGCTTTAAGGGTTGTACCTCTTAAAATTCAGCATTTTAGGCTAAATGCTTATTAAAGTATAAAGATATATATATATATATATATATATATATATATATATATATATATATATATATATCAATGCTAGTGGGAGCATTGTAGTCACCTTTGTATTGTACATAGATAATGACGACTCATAGGAAACATATTCTAACTTAGGAAGTGTAAAAGCTTGGCTTGGTATGGGAATTGTTTCACTATGATATACATGGGAGATACAGAACACGTACATAATAAGGATCTATGGAGATAGATTAAATTGATTCATTGGATTAAGCCAAAATACTTGGAATCTTGAGGAAACTCGACATGCAAAACTCAAAATGGAGTTCGTGATTAATAAGACATGGCATAACATTGAGCGATGCTAATGTCCTAGTTCTACTAGAGGTTATGAGTCGTGTCCCACATACTTCTACTATGGGATCGATCATATATGCCATGACATGTACCAAGTATGATGAATCGTATGCTTTGAGCATGACAAGTTGGATTAGATCAATTTGACAAGAATCAAAGAATCAAGATCAAGAAAATTCTTAAGTGTCCTAGGAGGACAGAGGAAATGATCATGACAGTATGGAAGAGGTCATTGTAAAAGTTACATTGATTCTAAGTTCCATACTGATAAAGACAATTACGTTCGTAGTCGGAATTAATGATTTTTCTGAATGGTGAAGTATTGGCTTGGAAAAGTACCAAGTAATACACAATAGTGGATTTAACAAACTTAGACTATATGTTGTAGTTGGTTAAATTGAAAAGAAGACAGTGTGCCTAAAAGAGATTAATTAGTGACATCTTTGTTGAAATTCAATCATTGATGGTCCTTTTAGAGGCTCTTGACTTTAAGGGTGAACTTGCCTCTAGTATGGATCCCCAGTCACACAAGCTCACAAGACACATAATCATAAAGTACCATCACATTTGATAGTGAGTCAAATGTAAATACATCATAGTCAGTAAGTCATATCGAAAGATAATCTTGTCGATCCAATCCACAAGCCAATGTCACTGACCAAGTCTGACAGTCAGACAAAGTCAAGAGGCATTAGATTTGCAAATAAATTGGCTTGAACACTTTTAGTTTAGTTTTTTAAATCTGAGAACTTAAAGCAGTATAAGTGTTAATTTGATTTGGCGCTTATAAAGTGGAGATCTTAATATATGATGGAGATCAGTCATTTAAATTATCTTATCATTGTGTTCTCCTTTTGCGTGTTTAGAACTCACTTCATGAGTATTAATTTACTCAAACGTCCACAGTTGGTCATACTCTTGGAAGTTAGTAGTGATTCAAGACTGTCATGAGTATTAGTGGATTGTTTATTGTTATTGGAAATAGCATAGAGATTGCGCTAACACTCGTGAGTACTTAATAGATATTTATGTATTTGAACAGCCCGCGCTTAGAGATTACTTCATGGATTCAGTCACGAGTAATTCTAAGACAATAATATTTTCTATTCTTCAAACTTAGATATATGTTGGGTTTTGCTGTATGATTCTATTGTGCATTGGTCTACTCCAACGCTATCTGTAATTGGTAGTTATAAAGGGTATGTTTATGTGTGACATGATGAAATAGACAAAAACTATGTATTCAAAGTTTATTTGTTCCTTCTGCCTTAATAGGAGAATCGATATATATGGGGCCCTCGATGATTTGGTGCTGACATCTAATGTGCTTGGTCGAGTCCTGACTGAAATTGATGTGTTAAATTTAGTAGTCAGATGCAGTCTTCACAAATCTATATCGGGAAACATAATCTTGAAGTCTGAGATGGACCATTATCCATGTCTCGAATTCATACAAATATCATGAGAACGAAGGGATAGTTGAGCACTTATCTAAGGGTTGAATCTTGATTACATCAAGAGTTCGGTATTTGCATTGGATGGCTAACTCTCTGTTGATTATTGAAGAAGTATTGGTCCTTGTATAGTTGATGACTTGTCCAAGTAGGAGACTGTTGGAAATAGTGTCCAAGGTCATTAACTATTGGTAATATTTATAATAATAACAGGGTCCTTTTGGGGTGCCCTCAAGCCCCAAATTGAGTAGAATAAATAAAGGAGGAATAGGTTTATTAATTATTATGGCTAATAATTAATTAGAAACTAATTGGAAATATATTTGGGAATTAATTAACAGTTTAATTAGTTAAAGGGTTGAATATTCATTAATCGATAGTTGGTTAATCAAGAATGTTCCAGAACCCTTGTGAAATTAGGGTCGGACGAAAATAACTCCATCCCACATGGGAAAAGGAGTTAATTTCGTGGTTAGGCTCCCATCCCACATGGGAAGGAGTACAAAACCTAGGAAGGCATCCAAGGCTATAAATAGGGCCTTAGGGATTTCATTCTTCCTTGCACTTTGGCTTGAAGTTTCGCTAACCCTTCTTCATACCCCTCTTAGAGATGATTTCTAACCCTCTTAGGGTTTGTGAAATTGACCCTTCTCCTAGTTATTTTTATTCCACTCTTTGGTGTCATTGGGTGTGGTACCATTAGAGGGATTCTGGTTTGGGTCCTCTCATCCAAGAAACTAAATGGAGGATCAAGATCTCAGGCATGGAGATCAAGGGCTACATAAGAGGTATGTTTTCTTCTTTGTATTTTTTCTTCTAGGCTAGATGTAATTAGCATGAAACCATAGATCCATAGGTTGCATGTACACTTACATATATCGTAGTTTTGATTATTCTACTACCTAGTTTAGAGTGTATTTGATGCGTAGAAAACCCAACATTTATCACACGCACCTACCTATTCTTTCCCTATCATTCTTCTTAAAAGTTTTATGATTCAGTTTCAAATTCCAGACACTAATGAGAACTTGAAAAATCAGTTCCAATGAGTATATCATGTCCCATGATATATTACACGTACCTATCCACTCTCTCCCTTTTTCTTCTAATAGAAGTGGTTAATGATTCAACGTATAAAACCATATGTTGATGAGACTATGCAAAACTATGTAAACGATCTACTATTGCAACAACATAATAGTGTGATGCACAAAATCATCTCCCGTTTATTAACTTTATTTGATGTTTATTTTATTTAAAGTTACTTTCTATCTTCTTTTAAAAAAATCAAAAAAGAAGGAAGTGATTATTGATGTTGTCAAAATGAGGGAGAAATGTTTAGTTATGCTACATTGTTGCTTATTGATTCATTGAATAGTGGACACTCTTGAAAGAAGTAAGTTATTAATTTGAGGGGGAGCAGATATCAACGTTCTATCGAGATATCTCCTTACTCCTATCATTCCGCTGCAACTCATGATACACTGATTGTTTCCATTACTCTTATGTCTCACTGGTTCTACCTCTATCATCATGATTATGAGATGTTGCTGATGTCAAAAGGGGGAGAGATCATCATATACTCAGACGTAAACACTCATTTTCTCAGGGAGAGATACTTTAAAAATGCTTCAAGACGCATTCAATCATTTTCTCAAGGGGAAATTGATTCACCACACAAGAAAGTTATTACTCTTAGGGGGAGAAAATAGTAAAGAAATTATTGAAGATTAGTTGACATCATCAGATAGGGGAGATTGTAAGGTCACACATTATGATCTGATGAGTCAAACACTACACGCTGACCACCAGCGCTAACTCCATATCTTATCAGCGCAGCGTGAATCAATGATCTTGGTGATCATATGTATATTAGGCAGTTATACGTATATATATATATATATATATATATATATATATATATATATTTATAATAGATATCTGATCCGTAATCTTAGTGATTAGGATCAGACGTTTACTTAGATAGTTATACACCCCTTGATAGTAGGATATCAATTATTGTAATCATATATAATCAACATTAGGGTGAAACCCTAATACATGTCTTTGTGACCGTCTTTGTGACTTCGTTGTCTTGGTGAGAACATTCTTTCTTAGTAAAAGCATATTTATGATTACTCCTATTCTTTAGCTTTTTTGTTTAATTCTTGATTGGTTTATTTGTTCTTTTTTATTCATACGTGAGTGTGTTTGATCGATACAAACCTTAACTAGTTCATCACCCCGAGGAGCTCCAGTACTGTTCGTAAAGAAGAAGGACATTACAATGAAAATGTGAATTGTTTATGGAGAGTTAAACAAAGCTATGATCAAAAATAGGTATCTTTTAGCTAGAATAGATGACTTGTTCGATCAATTTCAGGGAGAAACTGTCTTCTCGAAGATTGATCTCAGGGCGGAATATCATCAGTTGAAGATTAAGGAGCACGATATCGAGAAGACGACCTTTAGAAACCGATATGGACACTATGAATTCCTTGATATGTCATTCAGACTCTAAAATGCTCCAGCAGCATTGATGGATCTGATGCATCAAGTTTGTAAACCTTTTCTTGAAAAGTCGGTAGCAATGTTCATAGATGACATCGTGATTGAATCCAAAAATAATCAAGATCATGGTAAACATCTCCGAGATTACTGGAAGTCCTTAAGAGGGAGTAGCTTTATGCAAAGTTCTCCGGATATGACTTTTGGATAAAGGAGATTCAATTCTTGGGACATACAGTTAACTAGGAAGGCATTATGGTAGACCCAACAAAGATAGAAGCTTTAATGAAATGGGAGACGCCAAAGAGTCCCACTGAAATTCAAAGTTTTCTGGGATTTGTGGGTTACTATCGAAGATTCATTCAAAATTTATCTTCTATCACGGCTCGGTTGACAGCCCTGACGAAAAAGGGAGTTGCCTATACTTGGAGAGAGAAGAAA